AAAATTCACCTTGTGTCTTGGGACACCATTTGCAACAGAAAGGAAGACGGTGGACTGGGTTTAAAGCAAGCAAAATTAACGAACAGAGCGTATATGATGAAGTTGGGGTGGGGACTGATATCTCGTAAAGATTCGCTTTGGGTGAATTTCTTAAAGGAGAAATACAAGACCGGAAATGATCTAATTCCCAACGTAGAGAAACGTAGGTCGGAGTCAAGAACGTGGAAGGGCATTCGGTCTTGCTGGCAAGAAGTTAAAAATGGACTGGCTTGGAGGGTGATGAATGGTCGATGCATTCTCTTTTGGAAAGACCTCTGGTTACCCCATTTCGACGCCCTTGAAGGCTATGCTGTAGATACTCTCCCACAAGAGGCTCTAACCTGGAAGGTGAGTGACTGCGTTACGGCTTCAGGGACCTGGGATTGGCTGAAGTTTGCCCATTTATTGCCTTAGAATGCCCTTCAGGCTATACATGGTGTGCACGTTACCTCCGTTGGACGTGATGACTACCCCGTATGGTGCTGGTCTTCCTCTGGGGCTTTTTCTTTGAAGACAGCTTATAACCAAATTGCTGGGAGGAAGGTCACCATTAACAACACCCTCTGCAAACATATATGGAAGCTACGTGTTCCACAAAGGTGCCGAGTCTTCCTGTGGTTATGCGCCCAGGGAAGGTTGTTCACTAACCTGTCAAGATCCAAGCTAGGACTACATCCCACTGGGGAATGCGACTTGTGTGAAGGCAAGCAGGAGACTGTTTTACATGTTCTTCGTGACTGCCAGCAGAGCATGCAAGTCTGGCAAGCTATCTTGCCTCATGAATGGAGAAGTAAATTCTTCGCTGGTTCTGATCTTTCTGCTTGGCTTACGTGGTGCACTTGTAGCCACTTCCAAGCTCACGGGTATGACTTCAGGCTCTGGTTTCCTATAGTTTGTCAGAACTTATGGCTGAGTAGGAATGGTCGAATCTTCAGTGATCTATGTTGGAGTGTCGAGACTCTTATTGCGCGAACCCAGGCTTGCCTATCTTGGGGCAACCAGAACCCGCTACAGCAACGAACGGGGATGTATTTGCAGCCCATCTGGAAACCACCACCTCTAGACATGGTGAAGATTAACGTGGATGATTCTAGCCTTTGCACCTGTGGGGGTGTCTTTCGTGACCATAATGGCACTTTTATCAAGGTTTCATGTACAAGGTTGGTCGGGGCTCAATCATCACAGCGGAGGCTTGGGGTCTTTTGTGGGCTCTGAAGCTTGCATGGGACAGCAACTTGCGTCACTTGATCGTTGAGTGTGATTGCACTGAGCTAATATCCCTTGTTCATTCTCATATTCCCTCAGAACGCCCGGACTACAGTGTCTTGATTGAAATTCAACAGATGATGGGTCGAAACTGGGAGGTTGAAGTGGCTGTTTGTTCGCGAGACTCGAACACGGTAGCAGATGCTTTGGCTGCACAAGCACGCGATATGGGGGTTGATTTTGCTATGTTTTGTAGTCCCCCTGATCCCATACGAGACATTCTTCGGCGAGAAGCTATCCAGGGTCAGGCTTTAGTGGGTGCTGATATGTAGTAGTTCTTTTTCCTTTCCCATAAAAAAAAAAAATTAGGCATTTACTTATTTTTCCAACATAAACAGCAACTTTCTATCCTTTTTTTCCCCTTATGGAGAGATTTTTTTAAAATATCTTTCCAGCATGAATATATATTATATTAAAATTCATAAAAATCATATCTCAAGTCTCTGTTAAATATCATGGGTTTTGCTTATTTTCATTCTCTGTTCCCATTTCATAGGTAACCTATGCTTTTTTGTTTTTTTGTTTTTGTTTTTGTTTTTGAAAGAAAAAAGGGGATAATCTGGGAGCACGCCACAGCCGCAGGTGTGTGTGTTTGATAAGACACTTCATATATTTTTTTAAAATTATATCTCTATCTATTTATTTAAAAAATTTAAATGATTGGAAAAAAAAATTTTAATGATGGAAAATTTTTACAAAAATCTACTTTTACTCCCTGATTTATTCAGATTAATATTAGGTGTTAACTTTACTTATTTGTGGGGACCTCTCAATTACATTAGTTTAGATCTCGGATCATTTGAAATTCAAACATTTGTGGCCAGATCTCAATTTCTAAGAAAGGCATTTGATATAATTTGTACTCCTTCGGTCCTAATTATAAGACCCAATTGACTTATTTGAGGAGATTAAGGAAGTAAGTTAAGTTGGTTATTTATAATAAATAAGTGTTGTCATTCCTAAAATATCCTTGCTAATTAAGTATATTGGCTAAAACTATCATTATTAGAAGAATTATCTTGGAAAAAAATGCATAAATATAAGAGACAAAATGGATTGGGTCTTATAATTAGGACCAAATAAAAAGTCAAATTGGGTCTTATAATAAGGACCGGAGGAGTATTAATTTATAGTACTTCTGGTTTTTAATATAAAAGCTAGATAACTAATTTGAAGATAATGAGAAAATTAATTAAGTTAATTATTTATCACAAATGTGTGTTGATCTCCTTAAACCAAGTCATCATCTTCAATCATGTGTATAGAATGATTAAAATTATTCTCTGGTAGGAATTTTTTATAATCAATAGGGATATTTTAAGGAAAAAAAGAGAGGTAAAGTAGGTTAAAGTCCTATAATTAAGATTAAATTTAATTTTCAACTAGCTTTTATATTAAAAATTAGATTGAAGTAGTGTTATCTACTTATATTTAAGCCTTTAGGGAGTATTTTGATTTAAAGTTTCCCACCACCTTCATTTATGTATTTCAAACTATTCGGTCCATAAACAAGCGTCTTCACTCTACATACCGCATACATACTTCACAATGCAGCTGTTGCATATTTACTTGGTGATGTGCTTGAGATTTCTATAATTTTGTTTAATTTAAATCAAGCCCTTATAAAATTATAGGAACCAAAACGTTTAAAACTATAGAGAGAGAGCAAAACCCAAGGACCAATAATTATGTAATTCTGAATTTAAATCTTTCTAGGATCCACAGAGGACAACTCAAAGAGTGCTACACGAGCTACTTCCATGACTTTGTCATATGTTGTATTTGCACTCCTTTCTATCTATTCCTTTTCCCCCCCCCCCCCCAAATTAAAAAGACTTATATTAATATTAATAATCAGAGGTCATGAGTACGATTAAGGGGGTGTTTGGATAGAATCAAAACCATGATTTTAAAAGTGCTTTTATGGTATCCAAAGTAAATATGTGGAAGAGTTTATCTCGATTTGCAGAAAAGTGCTTTTAAAAAACACTTTTCATACTTCCCAAACACAGTCTAAGGGGGTGTTTGGCAACCTTCAAAAGTGCTTCTCAGAAACAATTTTCTGCAAAACGAGACAAACTCCTCCACATATTTACTTCATAAGCCATAAAAGCACTTCTGAAACCATTGTTTGGTTTCTATCCAAATACCCCCTAAATCCATAACACTTTAGTGGAGATTTCATACCATTAGATTATAAGTTTATTGGCTCTTTGCACACTTTTGATGCATACTTGTTCACTTCATCCCTATCTATTTTTATTAAAATTTCGATTTTCATTCATTGTACTTCACATTATGCAGCTCAGTGCATTCGCTTGATGATGTGTGTGTTATGGGATCTCTATCTTTTTGGTTGACCAAAGAGTTAATTTCTCAAGCTTAATTAAAGAAAAAATCAAAGAGATGTATTAATATAAATTTAATTAAATCTTTCTGGGATTGAAAGAGTGCAACAAAACCCTTTTTTAGGTGAAACAAGCGTATTCCCAAATGATTTAAGATTAATCATTTTTGGGTGTGAAGCGGTTAAAGAATAGCACTCTCAATAAAAGGTACAACAAAAGTTTAATCATGTTAGATTCACATTCTAATTACAGTGTTGGTTGAAAAATAGTGTGAAAGTAATTTGTGTTAGGAAAAATGTTTATGTCAAGTTCCTTATATTTATTATGTTCAGTTTCCTAACATATAGATATGAGAAATTTGATGTAACTATTGTATCTTGAGGTATAAGGTTATATGATTTTTTTTTTTATACATTTCAAAGTTTCTTCAAATTATTTTATACTTAAGACTAATCTTTATTGGGTCGGTAGCGTAAAGATTAAAACTCTCTCAAAAAATATATTTCTTGATATTTGAATTTGTGTTCTTACGAAACAGCTTGTTGGTATATGTTTGTATGACTTAATAAAGATTTTGCACCGAAACGCAACAACACATAACAAACACTGATTGAAAAGCTAACTAAAACCGAAAAGTTTGAAATACTAACAATTTGTTCCTCCTAGTTAATGCCCACTTAAATCGAAAGTTTCCTGTTTGACCAAAATAGTAAATTTACTACGATGGAATTAGTTACCATTTACTTGTATCACTTTTCTGACTAGGTTCATAAATGATTCTAATTCCACCTCTAATTCCGGTTATGTTCATAGCCCCACTATATATTCCCACATTGTGATGCTGATTTGCTAAGTAATTTACTCCAAACTTAATTAAGCCAACTAGATATTCTTGTATTTTATTAATCTGATCTTTAGTAGGAGGCATTTTCAACTAATTCATCATTTTCACAATCCAATTTACTCTTGTTTAAAATCATGAATCACATCTTTAGAAATAAAGAAGGAACATGTATTTTTTTTTTTCATCTATACCACATCTATCAATCAGAAGTTAGAAAAATATTTGACCTGAAAATTTAAAAAATGTTATGGCAATTTAACCTAATTTTTATTGTTAGGGGCGAAGACACTTATCAATTAGAATTAGGTTTGAAGCATGAGTTGGCCATAGCTTTCTGGAAAAAAAGAAAAAAAAAAAAAGGAAAAATCATGGGAGGGTGACTTTTGGTGAACAGAAACAGCTAACACAGAAGGGCTTTTTCGTAATAAAAACAAAAAGCCCGTCCCTTTCGGTAACTTGAGTCCTTTAAAAGCTCCAAAGTTGCAGGGATTCATTCCATCGCAGCAGCATTGCACTTTCATTTTTACTCCGTTCCCTCTCTTCCAAAATCCCTCGCTCGTCCTCCACTTTCTCTCCCTAAAATCTCAGGGAAAGGAGGAGAATCACTCAGAAGCAGACGAAGAAAGAGGAGGACGAGGACGATTGTGCTGTCAGCTCTGCGATCTGCGAATCGAAGTGGAAGAGACAGATCGGAAAGGAATCGATCGCCGATGGAGGAGAGCCGATATGCGGTGTTGATGTGCGCGGAGGAATCAGAGTATGTGAGGAAGAGGTACGGTGGGTATTATGGAGTATTTGTGAGAATGCTGGCCGAGGAGGGGGAGAGGTGGGACGTGTACAGGGTGGCGCGTGGGGAGTACCCGTCGGATGAGGAGGTGGAGCTGTACGACGGATTTGTGATCACCGGAAGTTGCAATGACGCACATGGGAACGACGCCTGGGTGAGAGAGCTACTGACATTCCTTAAGAAATTGGATTCCATGAGAAAGAAAGTTCTCGGCGTTTGCTTCGGCCACCAGGTACGTTTATTTATTTATTTTAATAATTTATTGTTCTGGAAAAACCAGTATGTTTTGTTTTGGTCAAGTTTTACCCGTTTTTCTGTTTTTTATTCCGTTTTCCCGCTTGTTTGGTTAATTTATATACATGTTGAATGTTCATTTTGGTTTTTGAATTTTATGCTCCGTTTATGTATTAGTATAATTTAACAAAATTTTAAAAAATCATGTTAGTTTATTCAGATAAATAATCATTTTAATTTGTTTTTGGTGTCTTTCGTCCACAGTCTAAAGGATGACTTTGGTTGGTTAATAACCTGTAAGTCGGACTTTTTTCTTTCGTTTTTTCTCCTGTTAATATAATTTTTAGCCTTTCAAATTTGTTTTTATTTTAATTTTGATTTCCCAAGTATCAAATTATAAGTTTTCACTTTTCAAATTTTTTTCATTTAAAATATTATTTCTTATAATTTAATAGAAACTTGAATCTTATGATTTAAAACTTAAAGAGCCAAAATAACAAATTTAAAAAGCCAAAAATTATATTGACTTTTTAAACAGATTGATATTTAATATTGATTGATATTGATGATTTTGGTGAGATATAAAACAAAATGCACAAATCACCCTGTCTTTTTAGAAGTGCATTGAATCGTTTGTTAATTTTAATTTAATTTTAAACATGTTATAATACTCCTCCGGTCCTTAATATAGGATCCAATTATTGAATTGGTTTTGGTTCTAAATATAAGACTCATTTATCATATTTATCAATTTTTTCTAAATTACCCCTATGATGCTCCCTCAACTATAATAAAGTAAAAGAGGAAGAGGGCATATTAAGAAAGATGGCTATGATGTTTTAGGAAAAACATGTCACATTTCTTATAATTAACTAACATACATAATTTCCTTAATCTAATCAAATTAGTTAAATGGGTCTTATATTAAGGATCAGAGGAGTGTTTTTTTTTTTGGCCGGTAAACTGTAAACATGTTATAATACCTAACATCATCATATAAAATAAGGTTTAGCAAAAGAAACTATTTGTAAACTCTGAATAATGTAGTTTAACTTGAATTCTTAATGCATTGGTGCTTCTATTCTTACACTAATGAACACAACAAATTGGGCTATACTTTTATGTGAAGTTTTTCCGGCATAAATGGTGAAAAGTTCTTGGTTCATAACTTACAATTTACGAACATGATTTATACATATAACTTTAAAAATTAAAGGGCCAGCGCACAACTTAAAAGTTCAAAACATTGGTTGCATAAAAAAACGAATTAGAGGTTCATTCAATCCCGCACATTATCATTCAACTAGTGTGTAACAAACCCAATATAATTAGGATTTGGATCCCCTTAATTAAGTTTTTTGATTGAGTTTTAATTGAGAAATATTAACCATTAGATCACAATATAATGGTAATGGTGTTGAGATAAAGAGCTTTGATTTTTTTAAAAAAAATAAATTGGTAACTCTTTTCTTAATACTATTAGCCTATTAGATGGTGATGATTATGTTTCTGAGTTGAAACTGGATTGATGGAGTCTCGATGAGATGGTATATTATGACATGTTATGGTAATGTTTGACATAAAGTATATTTATTGTTTTTTAAATTAAAATAATTAATTCTTCAATAAAAAAGAATCTACCTGAATCCATTGGAGATTCTTTGCTGGTGTTAATTTTGTTTTATTCTTTTTTTTTTTTCCCTTTCCCTCTTAGCAAATAATTTATGTCACATGCGATTCAGACACGCGATTTGATTCAGACCTTCGATGCCTTCTGTCGGATTTATGGTAAATATACAAGTATATGGAGGAAATAGAGTTTATTATTTATTTTAATCAACATGGATAAGATTAGATTCATGAACAATTTTTTAAAAAAATAGTAAAATAATAATTTAAGTATTTTTACATATATTTCAAATCAATATTTAGTGCATTGGATTTAAGAAGTAGTGGGACATTTATATCCGCTTTAAACTTTGAAGCGTTATTTGCAATTTTTTCTGATAGATCTGAGAAAGAAAATGATATTGAGAATGAATAAACTATATAAATTTTATTTATTTTTATTACATTTTTTAATGCAACCATCCATCTAATACAAGGTACGTAAGGGTATAGTATTATCTGATCAAATTTGAGCAAATTTAATTAGAATATCTGCTCTCAAAATGATTTTTCTTACGGAGTTTTTAATCATAATGGAAAGTTTGTGGTCGCTATCCCCATCAGGGGACCCAACTTTGGAGGGGACGTCGACAGTGAGGTAAAATACAAAAGTTTTGTTTTAACACTTACGAATATTATAAAAACTTATCTTTCAAGTTTCACACTCTTCAGCAAGATTTTTCTTATCTCTCACTTGGAGTTTCTGATTTTCTTTTGATGTTTTCAATTGAAAGTGTTTGGATAGGAGTTTGTTATGCTAATGATGATAAAATTTGAACTGATAAGAAGAAATGAAGTTGAAAGTAAAATAGATAAAGTAATCTAATACTCTTCTGATCTTAAATATAAGACCTTTTTAGTAGTATAAATTATACTACTAAATAAGTCTTATATTTAAGATCGGAGGAGTAATATGTTTTTTTTCTTCTCAGAATACAAAAGTTACTAATGATATGTTTACATTTGCAAGCGATGCAAAAGTTGAAGAAGAGCATTTTACATATATTTCGAAATTTATTTTTAGTTTGCATATATTTTGAATCAATTACACAACTTTGACATCACAAGTAAAAATGAATGACATTATGTAAATAATAATATTACTATTAATAAAATCTCAACCAAAATGTCCAAAACAACTAGTGGGTGTTTGGAAGTCATAAAAAAAAAACCAGTATTTTACACTTTACGAGGGAAAAAAAATATATTTCAGATATTTACTTTACATAGCATAAAATTACATAAAATAAGTTAAGCCAAATACCTTTTATACCTTAAATCTCAACTATTTGATACTCTCAAGTCTCATCTATTCTTAATATAAGGTCCATTTCACATCATAATTTAGTGTTTATGATGCGTTATCAGGCATAATCCTATTTAATTTATTTTCAAGTGTTTCTAGATGGGAGAATCCTTTAAAAAAAAAAGGTTTGAAATTGGCAAATTTTAAATAAGAAATTTTTATAAAAATGTATTATTTGCACGTGTGATGTTATCAAAATATATTAAAGTGTTGCTTTCAAATCTAATTTAGAATTTAATAATTTTAAGATGGAATTCTTCCTTTTGAGAAAATAGAGTAACTTTAACCTTACACCTTACTTCTTGTGATTTAGTTAAAAAGAGTGTATAGAGAGAGGGGCTCAATAGGAATGTGGAAAATGCAATGACTTTATATGTGACCTTATGTTGTTTGCGAGTGAAGACAGCTTAGGATTACGTGTATTCGGTATTTGCAATCACGTGATGTGTTGTCGTCATTTGAGGAATTGATTATATCTTAGCTGTTGGTTTCATTCATGACGTGGCATGTGGCCGCACTTGATCATACAAATTATTACTGAGCTCATGTCTTGTGATGGTATCACTGCCACACACTGCTTGACCCCAAATAAAAAAAGATCATTGTACCTTGTATGTCTGTCTATTCATGTCCAATGGAGTGTCATAAGATGGGATCTGATCTGTCTCGACCATCCCCAATAACGAAATAAATTTGTTTCATCATAGAAATGGTTGTCTTAGGTGTCTCATCTGTTGTACGTATGATATGGGGAATGAGTCACAGTTATAATATAAGTAAAATTTGTTTGATTTTAAATATAAGAATTAGATAATTAATTAGTAAAAATTATGAAAATTAGTTATATTAGTTATTTATAAAAAATATATATTGGTTTTCTTAAACTATATAGTACTGTTTTAATCATTTTCATTAGATACTACTCCCTTGAATAAAAAAAATCCTCTTAATATGCACATTCGATTAATAGAGTTAAAAAAATTAAAAATTTAAGAGATATAGAGGATTGAAGTTTTGCATTTAGGACCAAAACAAATCCATCCATTAGTTCTTATATTTAGGAGCAGATGGAGTATATTTCATTATAAATTGTATATTTAAAAATAAAAATTAAACTTTAACACGAAGTTACATTATTTATGAGTCACAACATTTTAACTTATTTTTTCAGACTCTGTGTAACACCTTTTATATGACTTTTCATTCCGACGGGCTTATCTCTTCGCTTTGGTTTTTCTTATTGCTTGTTTATGCCCATGGTTTTCGACTCCACGTGAAGTTGCAGACTTCTCAAAGCAACCAGAGACATTTTTTTGTAAAACGAGATAAATTCCTCTATATACTTACTTCGTACACCGTAAAAGCACTTTAAAAATTATGGTTTTGATTTCATCCAAACACTCCTGTAGTATAATAAACCTTTCATTAGAGAAATATATATGGCAGAAACACTTCAAACCTAACACCTCTTGCCAAATCTGAGGACGGGAATTGACTTCACTCAATCCAAGAAATTAAAACACAAACAGATAGATTTTGATGGACTTATTTTATGTCCGCTAATAATTTATCAGTAGCTATCTCTTTTATGGCCATAAGAACCGCTAGGTTTTATTTGGTAAATGAGGATGATTGTTTACTAGTTAAGCTTTTTGTATTGTTCAAACTTTGGATAGGTGTCTTCCGCGTTAGTTGTGGGGTCACTATGATAGATTCCCTACCTCGTAATAATAGCAATAATAATATAACCTTACCATGTGATATGGTTCCCCATAATCTATGTTTCCTTTTTGTGTTTTGTAAAGTTAAATTTGCTGAGTTGGATGAAATTATGCATTTTTCTGACCTAGCAGATAATGTTTACCAACTGTGATAGCCATAAATCACTGATCATTCACACACGTATACATATTCAGGTGGCTTGTATACTACGTTGGTTGGAGTACTATTCACTGCTGTAGTTACTATAAGATTTAGTTGATTAATTTGAGGAATTAAGAAATTTACTAAATTATTTTAAATTATTTAGATTTATTATTTTTTTTCCAAACTAATTTGCCTCACTTATAAATTGATATATAATGTAATGATTCGCATAAATATTTTAGGGAGATCATGTAGTATATGTTATAATTAATTAATTTAGTAATTTTTTAATTTTTTCAAATTAGTCAATTGGGTCTTAGATTAAGGATCACATGTACTATGTGTATACAAATGTGTGTATATAATGCAGAAGAGGGATAGTATACAGATCCTTTTTCTTTAATTAAAGAGCCGAATATGACTTGGTTGAAAAAGGATTCTGATGAAAATTGGGGTTGGGTTTTGATCAGATACTTGGCCGAGCATTAGGAGGGAAGGTGACTCGATCTCCCACAGGTTGGGACATCGGTCTCAGAACGGTGACGTTTTCATCGTTTTCATCGCTGGCCCTGTCTTCTCTCAAGCTCCCTTCAAGGCTCTCCATAATCGAATGCCATCGCGACGAGGTGTGTCCCTTTCCTAAATGCGACAACTCTAATAGGTTGAATTATCTATAATCATTAAACACAATCTTGTACGTCACTTTTGACCCACTTATCTACCTCTTCATAATCCCACTTAGATGCCTACTTGCTAATCAACCATGAAGAAACACGCACGGAATGTATATACTGTTCTGGTTCTATTTATAAGTCACTTCTAACATGTTTCATAAATATTGAAGAAAACTTTAAATTTTATTAACTTTCATTTAAAATTCAATAATTTTTCAATTTTATCCCTATTTAATATATATTATACTTTATGTAAATAGAGCCAACACAACAATAAAAAAAAAAAGTGAAATTGTACATCCATACAAAAAATTTCTCTCAATACCCTATAAATAGGGCAAAAAAATATCTTCTTTCTCTATTTTATAAATGGGACCAAAAGAGAATTATAAAGATATATATTTAGTTGTTAGTGACAAAGCCTACGTGCTTAATTACTTAATGATTTAGTTAATGGCATTAAAAAAAAAAATAGGTGAGAGAGCTGCCAGCAAAGGCCGAGGTGATTGCGTGGTCAGAGAAAACAGGAATTGAGATGTTTAGGTATGGAGATCACATCATGGGGATTCAAGGCCACCCTGAGTACACCAAAGACATTCTTCTTCACCTCATCGATCGACTCATCCAACGCAATTTCATCATGGTATGTGTATATATAAAGATTTAGTGGCTGATAGCATGAAATGGTGGGATTTGGGGCGTCCAGTGTTCCTTCTCAACTATCCCTTAATTTTTCTTCACTTTCGAAATGTTTTTTTTTTTGGGTTTCCTTTAACCATTAGGTTATATATAAAATGGAAAAAGTGATATTTTGATATCTTTTAAGGAAAAAAAATGCAGTTTCGTATTTTTTTTAGTGATTTCTCAGAGAAAAAAATAAAATTTAAAACTGTATTATTATTTTTTTTGTAAGATATTAAAATGTCATTCATTTCATTTTATATAGAATCTGATGATAAAAAAAGACAAGAAAAAACATCACCAAAAAAAGCAAAAGAAACAAGAAAAAAAACATTTGAGAAGTGGTAGAAAATTAAGCGGGGCAGATGAGGTAGCTTATAACATCTCAAAATGATGTTCATGTAGCGGAACCCACTTAGTGAACAAGGCTTATTATTGTTATACGTGTGTGGGTGTGTGTGCCTATGAACCTCTTCGTTCTCTTCTCTCTATCTGTAATCTTCTGGTATTTCAGGTGGAAACTTGTGTTATGTGCACTAATAATAACTCACCCATTATCGGTGTTTGATTTGTGACGGTCACAGGAAGCTTATGCGGCTGAGGCAGTGGCGAAACTGGCTTTGAGTGAGCCGGATAAGGAGGCATGGAGAAGACTGTGCACCAGCTTTCTCAAGGGTAGGTTATGACAATGCAGTGAGACAGAGAGAGGGGTTTTGTATTGAAAGAAGTTGGTTTTAGGACGAAAAGAGAGTGGAGGAATAAGAAAGGAATGGGGAAAGAAGAGGGTTATGTGTAAGGGTTGACTCCATTTTTCTTCTCATCATTAATCAGTTAAATTCCAATAATAGGAGAAAAGTATGCTTAGTCTATGGAATTTTTTTTTTTTAAAGATGGCGATAGAATGCACTAATTTTAGACAGATGCAAAAAATAATTACAAGGAAAAGAAGAATTTTCAATTAGGTAGATGCTTAAACCTCCGTTAAAGGAGCATTAAGAAAAATGCTTTTAAAAAAAAAACAAAAATTCTGTGTGAATTCTTTGACCGGTGAGTACTATAAAGGCCAGCAAGAGAAATTAGTCAAGGGAAAAAAAGAAATGAAGAGTAACACATTATATAAATATAAAGAAAACAAAAGTCATTGATTTTAGTGTTTACTATGAGCTTTATTATAAAAAAAATTGGCTACTTGAAGTCAAGGAATCACACTTTCCATATTAAAAAAAAATCATTTTGTTGAACTGCGTTAAAATTACATGAATACTTTCTTATTTTAGACATATATAAGTATCTGAAATAAAAAAGGTGTGTAAAATTAATTCTGTTTACGAAAATATGATATATATTAACTTAGATTCATACTTATATTATAAAGAAAGGAAATAATATTTTTATTTTTGTCATTATATAGTTGGGGAAAAAAACCTTCAACCACAGTATAATTCTTGCTTTAATTTCCAAAAAGATGTAGGAGGAAATTAAAGCAAGTTTTCCTTGCCTTTTGATTTGTAATTCAAAGTGTGTTACCCAAAGAACTTCATATACTTGATATTTTTTAAATCGAGTAATATTTGGTTTGATTCAAGCATTTTAAAATCAATCAGGGATAACATCCGAAGATGATTTCTCATATCTATACAGTTCAAAGACCTGCTCTTGTATTATGTGTGTGTGTAATATTTGTCTCACGATCCAATCATTATTGGCGAGATACTGAATTTTTATTTTCAATTTTTTTTTTTGAGAAAAAGAAGGTATGACATGGTCAGATGGAGGAAAACAGGAGGACAAATTTTAATATAGAACAAATTCTCATACGAGCTAACCTATTTATTTCGTGAGTTAGCCTGGACAACCCTTTTTTTTTTCGTAATTTACTTTATTTTACCTTGCAGAGCACAGCACAATCCCTAAAGCTACAAACTTAATCAGGTGGCTGAACACTTTATTTTCCAATTTACTTTCATTTCATAGTTATTACTTTTCATTTATATTATGCAGGATAAAAGATTTATGTCTATAGTTATATTTAATAATGTATTCATTTTATTTTTTGTTGCAGAATGCAGATGCTGAAGATGATAAGAAAGAATCAAGGATTAACCTTATTTCTAATTCCATATAAGATTTAAATATTATTATTTTTTAATGATTGATGAATGATATATTCATATGACATGATTATGATTGTTATCATATTTGTGAAAATTTGATTTATAATATCGACATGAGGTATGGATGAACATGAATATGTTATGTTTGTTGAATGTTGCTTATGATAATATGTTAAGGTGTAACTTTGCCCTCAAATTTTATGTAGGAGTTGTGAGTATTCAAAAATTTTTTTTGAATCAATATTACTTCAAAAATATTAAAAGATGAGTAATATCACTTCATAATATTAAAAATATTAACGGTCAATATTAGTTTTTTGTCAATCAATGTTAGCTTTTTGACAATTCAGGTTACTTCCTTTTTTCTTAACACTTTCCAAATGATATTAATCCAATAAACTTTCCAAATATTTATATCTGCCACACGAAAACCTTTGGAGTTAAATTCAACCCGAAACTTATGATAAAATAATGCAAATTATGTAGGGAGAATTATAGTGTCAAAAACAAAAAATAATTACCAACAAGTCTTAATAAACAATTGTCATTTATTACCTCAGAACTTGTCATTTCAGGCTTTTACGTTGTCACGAAGACTTTCTAATAATAATATTCGTTACTTAGGACTTTATAGTGATTCTCCCAATTATATAATATATATAGGTTTAAAGCTGGCTATATGATTTGTATTATATTTATGTTATTAAAATTAATTTTTTTACAAGTAAAAACAAAAGAATTGATGTACTACCTCCGGTTTCATTTATAAGACATTATTTGTGGACTACAAACGAAGTTTTATAATTAGGATAAGAGGTGGTATCTACTAAATGGCTCTCTTAATGTCGTTAACCTCTCTTGATGTTGTCATTTGATCTCTTTAATCTATTTTGGCATTTGCATTTCTGGAGTATGCAATTACTTGTACATTTTTCTCATTTTTCTTAATTTTATATATCTTCTTTATCACTAGATAGCAGGTTTTTTTCTTGGGGGGTATGGAAAGCAAGATATGGATATGTTTTTGAGAAAATTGAAGTGGATGCCTGAAGTTGGGTAGCAGTAGCTATGAGATTAGTGAGAGACTTTATGGATGCTGCAACAAGTGATGTCTGTTACATGTCAGATCAAATAGATTACCCTGAAATGGTAAGGCCTAAAAGCTTACTCAAGGTTATGTGTAGAGGTGGGAATCAGGGCCGGCCCAGCCCTCCAGGGCTAGCCCTTCAGGGCTGGTGGGCTTAAAAGGGTCGGTCCTCCAAGACTGAAATTTCAAAAATACCCTAATTTGCTAGGTCCGGCCCTTAAGCTACAGGGCCAGGGCCGGCCTGCGGGCTTTTGGCCCTTTCAAGGAAAAAAATACTATTTTTTTTATATTTATCATATTTTTTATAAAAATATAAAAACAAACCAATGAAATTATTAATAAAAGACATAAATATGAATAAAATTAAGTCACAAATATAAAATATCATCATATATAAATATTCATCAACATTTAAGAATATCTAAAACATTCATTAACAAGATAACAACATCTAAAAGTTTTATCTATAGTGCAATTGTGCAATAAATAAATACTATCATTAATCTTTTGAAACTTCATCATCACTATAATTAATTACTTTTCTTCATAAGTATGCTTTTCTTTCGTAACAAAAATATCAAGTTTTTCTTCTTTATAGGAATTTTACTTTTAAATTTTACAATCTAGCTATTATTTTACTTTAATGTGAGAAACATTGTTGTTAAAACTCATGAATTTCTAATTCAAATTATAGAATCACAAGTTATATAAGTATAAAAATATCCTATTATCAAATATATATGTAATTTAAAAATATCAACGCATATAATATAAATAAAATCATTATTAAAGTCCAAATTAACCCATTTTTTAAAAATTTAATTGGATAAATTATTGTCTAAAACCAAATTTAATTTTAAAATGATAATAATAACTAAATATTTGAAATATTATTAACAATGTAAAAAATTAATAACATTAAAATTATATTAAAAAATTTAAAAAACAAAAAAATTATAAAAGGGCTTAAACGGGCCAACCCGCGGCCTCTAGGGCCGGCCCTTTTAAGCCCTCGGCCCTCCAGGGCCAGTCCTCCAGGGCTTATTTCTCATTTCAAGAGAAAAATATCAAGTCCGGCCCTCATAATTTCAAGGCCCAAACGGGCCGGCTCGACGGGCTCAGCCCGTTTTCCCGACTCTAACTACGTGCCAACATTTGTGTTGTAACTAAAATGACAACGTAATAAAAACTCTAATAAATGAGAGATTATGGATCCACTCACAAATAACCATCAAGCCGTTAGTGGCTACAGCAATGGAGAAGTGAATGCACAGAAAATGCCCATGTTTTTGTTGAGAGCTAACAGGAGAAATTGTGAAATTATGAAGAGGAGGGTGATGAATAAATTTTGATGAGACTTGCCTCTTTCTTAATGTCAAAAAATATCGCAAAATATGTGTGCTTGTGGATGAGCGGCCAAGCATACGAAATGCAGAATATGAAGGGCAATACTTAGGCCATCGTCAAGGATTGTGGTTCGAAGCATTCCTTGCTCTCTCAGGGTACTACCACGTTCTCATGGTTTCTCATTTCTGAATGCAAGTATTACTCGTCATTAGGAGGAGAGGCACAAAATTCTCTGGAGATATCGGCCCAGCATGCACGGCAACTAAGAATGAAAATGGTGGATTATTTGGACCATAGTGACTGCAGCAGAAGGAAACAGAAGGCAAGCTAGCTCATCCAGGTACCCTTCCCAAGACCTGTGCAACGTGCAACGGTGCAAGTGGAAGGAAAATAGGGACTAGGTAAACCATCCAAAATAGTTTTAAAAAAAAATTGCTATTTTCAGGAATTTTTCCTCCTAGTATTCTTTCCAAACACTGGTTAAGTTCACAACATAATCGAAACATTGCCTTAGGCAGCTGCGTGAGCATCACACCCCGTTCATAAAAAGGATAACACGTTTTAGGACTCCCTGGCTGTTTGAATCTCCTGAAGTGTAAAACTGTCCTAGTTGGACTTGACTGGAACATTAGGAAGGAATTGGGTTCCCAGGGTGCTAGGGTGGTACTGGCTGAAACCATCCTGTTATGCAAATGAAGCTTATTTACTTGGCAAAATAAGGGGGCTCAGCAAAATAAGCTCAGAAAACATCGCTCATACGAAAGAACCCATGACAGCCCCACCCATCGTCCATCCTTTTCAGCACTGTAATATCGTTAAACAGAGAAATAACAATTGTTTCAATGTCAGTTTCCTTTGATTAATATCGTTAAACGGAGAAACTTGTTTCGCTCCGGTTCAACATGACAACCATTAAACAGATCCACATATAAAGCAGACCAAACAGACCAATTACGATATCCAAAGATCATAATAGAAATAAATGAATACTAATGGTTCATGCAAAAGTCTTTTTTTTCATCTTCCTCCATAAAAAGGCTTTATTTAAGTGAAGCCCACAACCACGCATGAATAATCTTAACCGTCAGAGACAGTCTAGGACAGTGACGCTGACGCTGACTCATGGCGGAGATAATTCCATCGCAGAAGGGTAAGAGCAGAGGAAAAATAGCTCAATCACTCAATGAGGCTCCAGAGTTCTTCCTGCACTCTGCTAGCATGTCCATGTAGAATTGGCACTTGCTAATGTCATTCCCGTAACTGTTCAGGCACTGCAAGAAAATAATCGCACATCTCTAATGTTAGCAAATATTAGAGAATTATTAACCAACAGCAGGAATAAAAACAATAATGAGTATCTGTTAGCAATTTTCTTGAAGAAACCTTAAATTCAGATTTCAAACATATTTCTCTCAAAACCGCATTCTGAAACCAATGGGATAACAGGACTGGTCCGGTTATTCAGTACATCATCAACTGAAACCTTGAGCAGTATACTTGATGCCTTAATGAGCCAATCACTAAGAACTCATATACATTAATGACTAGCTATCGGTGATTTTCTTAAAGAAACTACGAATTAGAAATCCAAACATGCTCTGTTTCCAAAACTTGGGCTTGCCCCTGTAACCTAAAAAAAGATTCAAACATGTTTGGCTTAAAAATAGATTGCGAAACCAATGAAATAATCACACTGGTCCACTTATTCAGTAAGACATCAACTGAAACCTGAAGAATATATGATATGCTTGATGACGCCATACTACTGCAAGCACATGAAATTAATGCAAAGCATGGAAAGCACAATCATATAACATACATTTGAAACATATCTGACAACCCATAATAAGGAGCTGTTAAAGAATAAGGACCTTTCACATAGATCTTGCATGTTTTGTAGAATGTTAATCAAATAGTTATTATTTTCTGCTGCTTAAGATATTTCTATACTATTGGACATATCAAAGCATATAACAGCCAAAACAATAATTGATGGGTGAATTTGTGAGACATCCATCCCATAAGGAGTTATTCAGTTGTCCAAGTTCAGGTTTGATTTACAATTCATAACCCAGATGACCAGAACAGGTAAGAAATGCATACATCTTGGAAGGCCTTTGTGTGAACACCACAGGCATCGCTACCAAGACTATTTGCAGTTGGTGCAGGGGCGGCAGCAGCACCCTCAGCAACAACTGTTTCATGTTGAATAGTTCGGGGACCCATCACACATCATCCATAGCCCTGTGCGCCACTGCACTACCAGTTCCAAAAGCCACGCCTATAACAAATTATCCATCCATTAAGCACAAAGAAATTCATTTTCACAGGTCCCATCCCATACATTAAAATGAAATAATCATACTCACTAACGTACCCTGAGCAATGGTTGAACCAATGCCACCAAGCAGAGAGCCACCACTGCTGCTCTGAGCGGGAGCTGGGGGAGGAGCAGGGTGAGCTGCATTAAGACACAACCAAGGTGGACAGAAATTAAACTACTTGTTATGTTTCTGGCTGAGTAATATTAATACTACGTCACAACAAAGCTCTTTGGAAGATACATTAAACCTTCATCATCTTCTTAAGTTTCTGGCTACGTAATATTAATACTTTGATACAACAAAACTCTTTGGAAGATACAGTAGACCTTCATCATTATTTGGATTTAAGAACAGCTTTCTGTTGTCAAAACAGCTAAACTTTTCAGAACTTACATTAGGAGCATGGTGTAGAGCCTAACTTTGTGAACTGAAACCCAAAAAAATTGACAGTTTAACCATTTATTGCATCATATTCTTATTTACCTGGCTGAGGTGGGGGGTTACGAGCTGCTGGTGGACGAGGTACTGAACGAGAAGACCTTCCTGCGAAGATAATCATATCACGAAGGATCACACAGCTAAACTACGACCTCTCAGTGCAACATGCACAAATTATTGATTAGTTAGTTTATTATTGATTCAGAATGTTGTAACCAAGACAAAAAAAAAAATATAATATAATAACAGCAAACGCTTGGATGACAGGGAAACTAGCTTACATTCCAAATGTTTCACTAAAAGAAACGTTCTACGAAAACATTTCCGTTTGCGACATCACAGATCCCAGAGTTGAAACCATAATAACCACAAATGACAAAGTCAGGATAAAAATCGGATTAGCATCAAAGCATCCTCAATAAAGAGGCACCCTGCGCTTTTACCAGCACCCCACAAAAATCTTACTTAAATGATCATCGACTTGCGCAATAAGCACCACATGCATCACCAGAAATGAGGGAGCATATGCATCAACGTATTAAAATTAACGGGTTAAAAAAATACATCCCTCTAAACAATAAACGATTTCCCATTTTTTGGGAACGACGGAACTAGCGTTTCAGGAATAGCATAAACGTCTAGAGTCCATTAACAACAACACCTTTCAAGCGCAATACATAAAACCCTAAAACCCCAATTCCTTCGATAATGAAACAGGAAAATTGGGGGAAAAAACCCTATATATCATCGAAGGACTAATCCAATAGATTCCCAATAGACTAATGTCCAGAAGATGAACACGAAATATAAATCGATTAGAGGTCAGCCAGTTACCACTGGAGCTGCGGCGAGGCATGGTTAGGGAATGGGGTTGAGGTGGCGGAAGAGCAGATTGAGAGACGAAGATCTCTGAAGAGGAACCACGAAACGCGCCGCTGCAAAAAAATAAACAACCAAACCCTTGAAACGGCAAATTAATAGCGAGCCCCACAATAAGGTTATGTGCTGCAGATTAGAGATCAGCCCAAAAATGAAGTTCTAGAACAATTCAGATTGTCTTAACGTGGAAGTACATGATTGGTTGATTTTAGGTTTGGTTCAATTTTCAGTGGTGTGTTTGAGCATGTTTACTACTTTTATTTTATTTAACTTTTGTAAAAATTAGTTATGTAATATGATTTATATTTATATTGATTTTTTATAAAAATCAGTTCGTTAAATTTAGACTTATTTGAATAAATAATAAAAAAATAAATTTATATCTAAATGACTGAAAAAGTTATGTATTTTATGACCTATATCTCATATATATGGTTTGATAAATTTAAAAAATAATAAATTAAAATAAAAATGATAGAAATAAAAAGAATTAATACTTTATTTTTTTAAAAAAGACAATATTTAAATCAAATTTTTTATATTTATTTTGTTAAATTTTTCGGTCACACATGTTCATAATAAAAATATATTTTTTGATTTAAAATTATATCTCATTCCTATCATCCTACCAAACAGATTTTAAAACCCACTTCTATTTTTAATTCTATTTCTACTTCCACTTTCACATCTGCTTCTGCTTTGATAAAAAACTCTTCTATCATACCAAACGAGACATAAGTGCCGCCAAAGCTTAAAAATTTGAGCTTTTTCAGTTTGTACCGTGGGGAAAAAAAAACAAATGAGAACAAAATGAAAGATAATATTATTTAAGTAGATTCTACATTGATCCAATAACTTAATTTTTTTTTTGCTAGTAATAATTTCTTACAATTTTTTTTGAAAAAAGTATTTAAGTTAAGCTGCTTATATTTATTATATCAAATTTTTTTGTCACATATAGTCATGTGCTCTATTTTTTTCCATGTGAATTTATAATTTAATACTATTAAATACAAATATTTCAAAAATAAAACACATATTACTAAAATACCCCTCACAAAAAATTAAAAAAAAAAAACCTCTTCCCCTTCCCTTGCATCGACAGCCGACCCATGTAAATCAGTATCACAAAATCCTCCATTGGTCAAATCAAACTAGCAACAATCAACTTGAAGAAAAAAAAATAATTTATCAATAAAATCTCAATCAAATTCAGGGATAAGAGATGGAGAATAGTCGCCATGGATGAGAGATGGAGTCTGAGTCGCCATGGATGAGAGGTGGAAACTGGGGGCTTTGATGTGATAGGAAAAAGTTGAGAGAATGAGCATAGTTCCTTCGCAGAAGTGAAGTTGCAGATCTGAGTTATTTTTCTGATGAAACCCATGAACCGACTTCCCCTTACTCTCTTTCTCTTTCTTCTTCATCCACATTAGTTGCCCCCACCGCAAGCTTTGAGTCACAAATCTGGGTCGCTTTGCTCCATATCTAACATTGGTAGGAACATTGCTGGGCTTTGAGGAATCCAAGAGCCTTGGCTAAGGAGACGTTGTCCACCATGGTGCTCATCGGAGTCGTCGCTGTCCATCATCATGCTCGTCGAGGTCGGAGCTGTCGGCCATCATGCTAGTGGTGGTTGTGGTTGCTGGCATGGTGGGTGTCGAACAAAGAGAGGAATGGGGATGGGGCAAAATGGTCAGAGACCCAGTTCCATGAGAAGTGAAAGTGGGTTCTTGGGGGTGAGCAGGGAACTGAATGCCAACGATTTTGGTGGAACTGAGAGTTCCATAGAAGTGTCTTCCACCACACCAAGCAAAGTTAGTTTTGGGTTTCACTTCCAATTCCACTTCTCACCTCCTCCACTTCTATGCTACCGGCGCATTAGCTTTTTTTCCAAAAGCTCATTAGAGAAAAAGTTACCCAAACAAGTCAATTGACTTTTCACATTGCCCAAGGCATGTTTGGCCCTTAACACCAATCCAAACACATGCTTTTAGGTTACCAAAAAAATTGTATGCTTGTGATTTTTTTTTATTTTCGCATCATAAAATGAAACGCAAATAGTTGGGGCTTCTGCGGCTAAACACCTTCAAAACCTTTCTAAATGTAAAATTGTGAGTTTCGACTTTTTATGAGGAGTATAAGAATGTCAGAATAAAAGCGAACACATATTAATATTAGATATACAAAATAAATTTAACAAAACACAACAACAACAACATAATTACTTCTTTTGCTTCTTAATAAGATCTCTTCTAAAAGAAAATTTTGGTCCTTATAAGACCATACAATAGTTTCAATTAGACTCCTCCTCATTCGTATTATCATTTCACATCGCCATGTTTAATTTAATTCATGTTAATGCTTTTTTCATTTCTCAATGTTCAAAAACAAATGAATCAAATCCCATTTAAATAGCTAAATACATTTGCAATGGGAAAAATGTAAGAAAAAGGAAAATCATTCAAGACATGAAAAAGGTAGAGACTTCATATATTAATATAACAAACATATAAATCATTGCCATTTTAACATACGACATGTTTTATAGACAAAACAAATCAAATGATAAAGGAAACAGTAACTAAAACTTCAACACAAAGATTATTTAACTAGTGGCACGTCTCTAATGTTTTACGTAAATATGACCTTATCTTTTTTAATGAGACTACAACATCAGTCATCATAATTCGTGCCTCAGGTAATTCAGTGCAACAACTTAATGCCAAGTCAAAAATCGATGATATATGTGATAATATATTGCTTATATTTGGATTTCCTTGACGTAGCAAATTGACATCCAGAATATTGATGATTGAATGTGGTGTTGATTTGCTAACCCAATCTTTTAAACCAAGACCTTCAACAAACATTTCATCGGTTGGCTTCTTCCTGGTAAACATCTCCATTAGAACAATACCATAGCTATACACATCTCCTTTGAAAGAAACCACTCCTTTTGATCCATACTCTATATTTCAAAAGAGAATATAAGCTTTAATATTAAACTTTTTTTTTTGTATATAGCTAATATAAATCTTCACATACAGGAACGGAAAATATATATCAATAATTGGATAATATAAAATTTTGGCATAGAATAATAAAAAAACAACATTATTGAACTAAAATATTATTACTAAACTATTACCTGGTGCCATATAACCAACTGTAGCCAATGTTTTTGTATGAGTTTCCAACTGTTCTTCACTTAATAGTTTAGCTATACCAAAATCACTCAGATGAGCCACCATGTTTTCATCCAACAAAACATTACTTGGTTTTATGTCACAATGAACAATTCGAGTTAAAGTACCATGATGAAGATACTCTAATGCAGCTGCCACATCAACCATTATATTCAACCTTTGCAGGATATCTAAACAATAGTTATGAGAGTACAACCATCTATCAAGGCTTCCATTTGACATGAATTCCATGACTAGAGACTTGAAATCATCATTTGAGCAACTACTGATAATCTTAATAAGATTGCGATGTCGTAAATTGCACATGGCAGCACATTCAATATCAAAACTTCTCAATGCTTCTTCAATGTCTATGTTAAATACTTTGACAGCAACTATCTTTTCATTTGGAAGAATTGCTTTATATACTGATCCAAAACTCCCAGAGCCAAGAAGATTACCCTCATCAAATCCATTTGTTCCTTGTAGAAGGTCATAATAAGATATCCTAGTTGGTGCATCCAAATTTGTTAAATCCCTATTGGTTGCATAGTTAGCATCATCTCTGTTATGCTTTAGAAAGACAATACCTATAAAAACCAAAATGACAACCATGATGGGCATTGAGCATTTTATCACCAACATCACTTTATTTGATATGTGCTTGTTTCCTCTCTTACACGGTCGGACTTGTAGTTGGGATTTTCCACAAAGATCTTTATTCATCATAAAAGATTGAGCAGTAAAATTTTGAAAGGACCACCATTGGAATTTCTCCATTCAATAAATTGTATGAAAGATCAATAGATTTAAGATAGTGTAGTGATTCTAAGGACTTTGGAATCACACCAGACAAGTAATTATGAGAAAGATCTATTGACTCAATACTTATCATGCCACTTAGTGATTCAGGTATAGGCCCTTGTAATTTGTTGTGAGCCAAAGATAGCTTTTGCAAAGTTGTCAACGTGGCCATAGTTGTAGGTATACTTCCTGAAATTTGGTTTCTTGACAAATTCAATAGTATAATTGCTCTCAAATTTGATACCTTTGGTGAAATTATTCCACTCAATGCATTGGAAGATATATCTAAAACCAAGATATCTTTGAGACTCCAAAGAGAAGAAGGTAAATGAGAAACTAGCTGGTTAAAGCCAAGATCTAACTGCTGCAAAGAAGTATTCCAAAGGCATTCTGGAACTGCTCCCATAAACATGTTGTTTGCCAGATTCAACTCACTTAGACTTTCTAGTTGACAAAGGTCATTTATAATGGACCCTTGTAATCTATTGTTGCTGAGACTTAAATGTTGAAGGCTATGTAATTTATTAACTGTATTTGGAATCAACCCAATCAAATTATTCTCATCCAAAGTAACTCGATCAAATTTTTAAATTTCCAAGTAGATAGGGTATAGCTCCGCTAAACTTATTCGATGACAAATCTAACGTAATGAGCTTAGAAGCATTTGATATGCTATTTGGAATTTGTCCAATTAGATCATTTTCTTCCAGCCATAAGGTCTCTAGGTTGGGAAGGTCATTTCCTAAATATGATGGGAGAAGGCCAGAGAGGAAATTACCACCCCAGGCATAAGGCTCTCAATGTCGAAGTGTTGAATATATTTGAAGGAATAGGTCCTTGCAAATGATTAGAGGCAAGTCTAAGACATTAAGTTTATCAAGTTTGCCTATCCCCTTGGGTAAAAACCTGCACACAAAAAATTGATAGAGATCACGACTTGTATATAGTTCAGATAAGAATACATACAAATAAATTTATTTTTATTCCTTTTAAGCCTTTATAACATTTTTAAGTAAAAAATTATGGAAATCATATAAATTATCTTTAGTTAAGATGCCATAGTTTATAGAAGAATTGTTGAAAGTTAAAGTTTAATTTTAATTTGTAATTTTTGAATAACTATTTAATAGAAAATTAATAAATTTCTGATATAGAAAAGAAACAATTGAAAATTTTGAGGAGAGAAAATTAAACAGGGAAATGATGTATTCTTTAATTGAGGGCAGAGGAAAATGGAGAAATAAAATACTATTTCTGGTCCTAATTATAAGAGTTAGTTGACTAATTTGAGGAGATTAAGGAAGTAAGTTAAATTAGTTATGTAATAAATAAGTATTGTCTTTCCTAAAATCCTTATTAATCAAGAGTGTGTTAGTTAGAACTACCATTACTAGAAGGATAATCTTGAAAAAAAAAATATAAAATATTAGAGACAAGTGGATTGGGGTCTTATATTAGAACCAAAATAAAAATCTAACGAGATCTTATATAAGGAGCGGAGAGGTAGTATCATTTTAGTTTTACTCAAACCCGGGGGGACGAAAACCATAAACTCCCATCAATTCATTATTTGATCTTTCGGTATTTTGGGATGCTAGCCATATTCAAGCCCCCGCTAAGAATATAGGCAATTTATAATGAACAAACGATGAAAAAGAAAAATCTCATTCCAAATTTATGAGAAGAAAAATAAAACAGTTAACGTTACTTGCATACAATACAAATGCTATGTGTGGTAATATAACAAATAAAACCACGTGTCTTACAAATAGAAATTATAAAAGGTACCGAGAAAATTATTTTTATTTGTTTAGGTCTTCGTAAAAAATTTGGAAATGAAAAAAATTAAGAAAATCATAAATCACACTTAAGGTGAAATGACTAGTATTTCTTTTGAAGAAATAAAAGTGTTTGTACTGTGATTATTGAATAAGTATTCAATTGAAATGAACAAATTTGACAAAAATAAAAATTTGAAAAAGAAGCATAACAGATGAAAAAATGTACTCGACAACAGAGAGGGAAAAAAAATACGAAATTAAAATTTGTTAGGAAACAGATAAAATCTAAAAAAGTACTGGCATATAATAGTACGTATGTGCATTTAAATTTGGTTGAACAAGCATTTTAGGAGTTGCACTTATTGTGTATATGTAATTGTAATTGATCTTTTATACATATCTAAATAATTTTTGTTTATTGTACATTTTTTAATTATTACGTTGTAATTTGTAAAAAATATTTAATTTTAATTTCAATTTAAACAATGTGGAATTGTTGCAACTTATATATAAGTAATAATAAGTAAACAACAATTCCAAACACATCTGTATTTTAATATTATTTAAATATTAAGATGAGAAAAAATAAAATTAAAGTAATTAAGAGACAGAAAAAATCTTGATAAAAAAGTATTGTATGGTTCGGAGTTTGTCATCAAAGAGTATATGTGAGGATTTTGCTTTTCTCTGTTACAAATTTAAGACATCCATTTGTTCATGATTGCGATTTTTGAGAAAAACAATCTCCATTTTACATAAACATATAAAAAAGAAAAGAAATACTCAAGTAAGTGCGTACCTGTAAATGAGTTACCACCCAAATATATTTTTCAAAGATGTGCAGTTTGCTTATTGATTGAGGAATGCTTCCCTCTAATTGATTAGCATCAACAGCGAAGGTTTCAAGTAACGGGAGATGATGACATTTCTTCAGGCAAAACCCTTTAAATGATTGTTGCCAAGGCTAATCATTCTTCAAAGAAGGCATTTTCCCAAGAAAGAACGGAAGGAATTTCACCTATAAATAACTTACAAAATATTTGTAATTACTTGGTAGTCTGGCAAGATGTTACTATAAATTCGTCCGTACACAAGCGTATAAAATAATACGAGGACTTTTGGTAATTAGATACTTAAAATTAGTAGAAAATAATTTATTTTTTTGTTGGACTGTAGTTTAAAGGGACTCTTCAATATTATGACCAATTGGATATAAATTTCTTTCAAAAGAAGAATTGCTGAAGATCAGAGACTATGGAATTAATCTTTACTAATCTAAAATGAACATCCAAATTATTTATATTTTGTATTATAGTTATTGAACTATTAAAAAGGCTCTAACTTTAAGATCTGAGGACGAATTCATCATAGGCAAAAAAAAAGGGCTGAAATTTTAGTTTTTCTTTAAGGAATTAAAATATTTTAGTTACAAATTTTGGATATAAAGCATAAAATTAAAGATGAATAGCCAACACATTATTCTATGATCCAAAATTAATTTTATTTCTCTTTTTTAAAGACATTTTTGCTGGGGTAAAAATTAATTACTATACCACATCACATACTGATAGTCCACAAAGTTTTTCAGACCAGTTTTTTATAGGGCTTCTCTAATTTTTTTAATGATCTAAAATTTATTTATTTCTCTTTTCAAGGATTTCTATTATGAATACAAAATCTTTAGTAAGCTTCTCATGATTCTTTAACATGAATGAAAGAAATGAAAAAAAGAAAATCTCGTTTTAAATTATTTTTTTTAAGAGATGAAAAACAAAACAAAACACAAGACACATACACACACGATCTAAGACAATCATAAACTAAAACTCTTACCTTGCAAATTGTTGTAGCTAAGAGCAAGAATTTCGAGGTTTGTCAAATTTCCAATCTCACTTGGAAGGATTTCCTGGGAAAGTATATATGAAGCCATTTTATTGATCAAAGTATACAAATGATGTGGTAGATTAAGACTAAAATTTAAAAAAAATTGTTTTTTCACATTTTAAATATAGCAAGTGGTCCCATCAGTCATGATCTTACCTTTTCTTTATTTTGGCATTGTAAATATTGTTTGCATATAATATACACAAATAATAAAGAAACTTCACGTGTCTTACGTACTAATTTCTAAAACTTGAACATGTGTGCTATATGATTAATCCATGCATAAATATTAAAAAGGGAAAAGGCAAATTTCCTCTAACCATCAAATTTTACTTTTAATATTGCAAATGAGTACATTAAGTTTACTATATAACTTTTATGCATTGCCAATTAATCATGTACAGCATAAAGCATTAGAATAGAAGGCTTTTTCAGCAATTTATCTCTGATGAAGAATTTGTTTTGCGCAGTTTTAGCGAGAAATTATTAAGTAAACTTTGCTGAACAAAAAAGTTCCAAAATAATGTTTAATGAATCGACATTTTTTTATGTAATCTCCCATGCTTTCTCCCTCATGTTGATTTTTCATACTTCTTTTAATTTTAAAATAAAATAATGATTAAGAAGTTATTAGTGGAGAGTTTTATCTTGAAGATAATTATTATCAATTGAACGTATTGAAACAATTCCACTTTATAACTATTCACAATGATATTTATAATTATTTATTTAAATAAATTTCTTGTTTATTGTAATAAATAAGGAAAAACGCACCTGCAAACTTTTTTGTTTTTAGTATTAAACTTATCCCATCCTACAAATAAGTCGAGAACTTGCCTTAAATATAACAAAAGAATTTCAAGTAATACTCATTTCGATTCGGAAGAGTAAAATACAAAAGAAAAATTATTCTTTACATTAATTTCAACTCTTTTAAAAAATTTTAAAAAAAAATTATCAAAATCATAAATTATACCTGAGATGACATGATTAATATCTTGGATAATTATTTAATTTTTTGTTGGTAAGAATCAGTTAATTTGAAATTAATAAATTTGAAAAATAAAAAATTACATGTGGGCAAGGGGGCACATTATACGCTGAGTACTTAAGAAATTCTGTTATCGTAGTGGGCCCATCAGCTCAGGTGATGAAGTCATGATCCTATCTTTCTGTTATTTTGGGATTAATAAAGGGCAAATAGCAAATAAAGACCCCTTATATGTGAAATTATGATTTGGGACCCTTAATTTAGAAAACGGCAAATAAAAACCCGATTTCATATTGCAAATATGAAATCTTGGTGAAATTTCTGAAATGCCCCTCAGCCAAATTGTGATTTGGTCTATTGAAATTGTCATTCGCTAAAATAAACTTGTCATTTGGCATACTCTCAGCCAAGTTGTGATTTGATTTGCTCAAGTTGTCATTTGCTAAAGTAAACTTATCATTTTTCATAGTCAACTAGTCATTTGACTTAGGGGCATTTTAGACATGTTACTAAGATTTCATATTTATAATATGAGATCGAGTCTTTATTTGCCATTTCCAAATTAAGGGTCTCAAATCACAATTTCACATATTGGGAGTCTTTATTTGCCATTTTTTCTTGTATAAATGAATGAAATGACCAAAAATAAAATTTCATTTTTGTTTTGGGGATATTGGATTAAAGTTTTGAAAATAATTTTATGGTGTACGATAAAAATTATAGGCTACCATCAATTCATAATTTGATCTTTTATATTTTGGGATTGTGATTACCATCATATTTAAACCCCGTAAGACTATGTATATGTAGATACAATATTAATAAAATGATAGAAAACAAATCTCATTTTAAATTTATGCTATTAAACAAAATGACTAAAAAAACAAAAGAATAAAAGTAAGATATAATAATCTCATTGATTATGAAGAGCTTGACATCCAAATATAATCGCTTAGCAATAACTGCTTGTGAAAAGATTGAATTGAAAGGACTTGTAAGAATAAAAATAAAACAGGTCATAAAAAGTATTTCAAGAAATGAAAAAAAAAAAGAAAATTATAAATTACACTCAAGGTGAAATGACTAGTATTGCTTTTGAAAAATAAAAGTTTTATATGTAATTATTGAATAAGTGTTTAATTTGAATTAATGAATTTGAAAAACAAGAAATTGAAAAAGAAGCAGAAACAGATAAAAAATTATAAAATTAAAGTTGTTAGGAAACAGATAAAATCTTAAAAAGGTACTGGCATATAATAGGTATGTATGTTGCATTTAAATTTGGATGAACAAGCATTTTATGAGTTTCATTTGTTGTATACTTTGTTAATTGATCTTTTACATATCTAAATAATTTTTTGTTAGTGTATATTTTTTAATTAGCACGTTGTAATTTTTAAAATATTATAATTTATGTTGAATTGTTACAATTTAGTATATAATAAATAAGTGAAGCCAACCCCAAACTTATCTGTATTTTTAATATTATTTAATATTAAGATAAGAGGGGAAAAAATAAAATTAAAGTAATTAAAAGACAGAAAAAAAATTTTGATAAAACATCATTGGATGGTTTGGAGTTTTGTCATCAAATAGCACATGAGAGGATTTCATTTTTCTATGTTGCAAATTTCACGACGTCCATGATTGGGATTTTAGAGAAAAACAAAATCTTCTAAGAGAAAAATATTAAAAAGAAAAAGAAAAAACACAAGTAAGTACATACCTGTAAATGAGTTACACTCAAATATAATTCTTTCAAAGATGTTGCAGTTACTTATTGATTGTGGAATGCTTCCCTCTAATTGATTACGACCAACATCAAGGTTTCAAGTAAAAGGAGTTGATGACACATTTCTTCTGGCAAATACCCTTTAAAGGTTATTGCCAAGGGCCAACATATCTCAAAGAAGGCATGTCCCAAGAAATGAAGGAATTTCACCTATAAATAAAATACAAAATATTATTCAATACGCGGTAGTATGACAAGCATGTTCCTAATAAATTCACACGGACACAAGCATATAAATAATAGATGGAGTTTTGGTAATTAGATGCTTTAAAATTAATAGAAAATAATTTAATTTTGTGTGGGCTGTAGTTTAAAGGAGACCCTTTCAATATTAATGGCAAATTGCTGAACATCAGAGACTATGAAATTAATCTCACCTAATGTAAAATGTACATCCAAAGTATTTAAAAGACTCTAACTAAAAATCTGAGGATGAATTCAATATAGGCAAAAAAGGGCTGAAATTTTTAGTTTTTCTTTATGGAATTAAAATACTTTTAGTTACACATTTTGAAGATAAAGCATAAAATTAAGAATAAAATTTCACTTGTTTCAATTTAAAAAGTGAATAAAATACGAGTTATGTATATGTTGATGAGAGAATTAGAAGTATTGTGAAATCTTTTCAAATACAAGTCCTTTCATCAATAAAAACAAAACAATAATATATATATTGTTAGCAAACCATATTTATTCTAATGATCCACAATTATATTTGTTTCTTTTTAAAGACATTTTTGCTGGGTAAAAACTGGGAGGACCCTTGAAGATTACTATACCATATCATATATTGATAGTCCACAAAGTTTTTCAGACCAGTACTGGCAAGGCTTCCCCACTTTTTTTAATAATCCAAATTATGTTTTATTCTCTTTCCAAGGATTTCTGTTACGAATGCAAACTTTTCAGTAGGCTTCTCTTGATTCTTTGACATGAATGAAAAAAATGAAAAGCAAAATCTATTTTAAAATTATTTCCATTTGAGAGATGAAAACAAAAACAAAAAACACAAAACACGGTCTAAGACAAATCATAATTAAAACTATTACCTTGCAAATTGTTGTAACGAAGAATGATTCCTGGAGCCATTTTATTGATCAAGAGTATATAAAAATGTTTTAGATATCAAGTGGTCCCATCAGTTGATGACCTTACTTTTACTATTTTGGCATTGTAAAATTGTTTGCATATAATATACATTGAATAAAAAGAAACTCATAAATATTTAAAAAGGGAGAAAGCAAATTTCCTCTAACATCAAATTTCTTACCCTTTAATATTGCAAATGAGTACAAGAAATAACTATAATTTTTATGCATTGCCAAGTAATCATGTAGCATAAGACATTAGACTGCTTTTCAGCAATTTATCTCTGCATGAAGATTTTTTTTTGGATGCAGTTTTAGTGAGAAATT